CTTCTGAACCTTATGATGGAATCCCAATAATTGTCTTCCGTAAGTGCGCCTCATCGTTATCTGGACCTTTGGCGCATATTTTCAACGTATCCTTCATGATGGCTGAGGTTCCTGAGCTTTGGAAAGAAGCATTGGTCACCGCTATTCCAAAGGTCTTGCACGCTCAGTCTGTCGGTGATTTCAGACCTATTAGTCTCACTTCTACACCAGCCAAAGTAATGGAGAAGATTATAAGAGGAAAACTGTTGTCCTGGTGTCGCAGATTCAGAATCATTCCACCGGAACAACATGGGTTCCTTCCCGGAGGGCAGCACGACTAACCAACCTTGTCGAAAGTGTATTTCAGTGGTGCCCAGATTTGAATCAAGGTAAATGCGTCATTCACATTGATTACGCCATTGACATTGATTTATTCCAGGCTTTTGACATAGTCAACCACCAGAAGTTATTGCGAATTCTTGATAGGCTTAGGATACGTGGCGGTCTTTTGAGGTGGTTGGAGTCTTACTTATGTTCCATTGGGCGGCGGGTCTTGATTTGCACTAAGATCTTCAATAACGGCTTCATACAATCAATTTCAGAACGATCCACGGAAAGACCAGCGCTTTGTTGAAAGATTCACAATTGCTACGAAGATACGCCTTGGAACCTTTACGAGTCTTTACCTATAAGAACGATATGAATACCACACTAAAGGAAGTCCACACGCAAGTTAAAATAGCGAAAACCATCAACACTTCGGTGACACATCACCTCTTGCAAACCAAATGCACGAACGATACTGGTGGCGAAATCATGCTCATGGCACACCGATTGCTGAATACCAGTACAATACAATATGAAACTTGAAGCGCCTCATCTAGAAATTGATGTTCTTGATACCATGTACATATTTTAACGGACCAAGGACAAATAACGAACCAATCACGAGTAGAATGGGAGCAAGGCCACAGATCAGAACATGACACCAATATAAAGGGTATTAATATTTACTCGCTGAGGAACATATCTCAAGATTGGAAGGAAACGTCGAAGATCTCGAATATGACATCAACAGAGCTTAACTGCTCGTCAGTAAGGAGAAGATCGTATTGGAAGGTTTCAGCTTCAATAAATTCAATAATAATGACGACATTGATACAACCCTCAAACA